CTGTGTGTGTGTGTGTGTGTGTGCGCGCGCGTGCGTGTGCGTGTGTGTGTGTGTGTGTGCGCGTGTGTGTGTGTGTGTGTGCTTTGTCACATCCTCTGTTTGTGGTTTTAGAAAAGAGGGGGGAGAAGAACTTTAAGTGTTTCAGTGTGAGTCCTGAATATTTAGTTTCTCTTTGGAGTCTCCAGCTTGTCTGATCCGATCTGTCGCTAACGTTGCTGTTTCAGGTGCGTCCCGCCCCCCTGTCGTCTCGTTGGGTGATTAAAGGCGTCATCAGAAGGTTTTCCTGCTCAGAAATGTTGAGTAAATGTTTTCCTCTGAATCAGGAAGCTGGTGAAGGAGCAGAAATGATGCAACATCTTTTTTTTTTTCATTAAACCAACAAATCTTAATGTTTTCATCGTTACGGCGTTTAAAACAAAATAAAATAAAATAATCAAACCAGAGAGTTTTCTCAGGATTGGAATTTGCAGATTCGTTTTTTTTTTTTTTTTTTTTTACCAAAAATTCTTCAAAATGTTCCTCCACACATCGGACCTGGCACCTCACTGATCCAGCAACCACGAGACCCCGCTGGTCCTGCTGCTGTTCTCAGGTTTGGACCTGAACCGGGTCACACACCAGGTTCAAACGGGCTCAGGCTTCTATGGAGCATCTGTTGAAACATCTGCAGGAGTCCTTCTGACCGTTGGTGGGATCCATTTAAACCATTTAGGATCAGAGTTGTGCGTACTGGGTCGGGCGACGGGAATCCCTTGGGCTCCCACCAGAGGAGATGCTGGAAGAGGCTAGGAAGGTCTGGGATTCTGGATCTTCAACCTGGATCCGGATAAACAGAAGACAGGATTCTGAACACATGGGTTGTAACTCATCTTCTCCAGCAGATCTGCTTCTGCGTGGTTGATGAGGATGAGGATGATGTCCTGACACGAAGGTGTAAACCCAACCTGAACTAAGACGGGGTTGGTCTTTGATTCTGTTTTCCTTCATTTATCCGCCTGCTTCTCATAGGAGAAAAAAAACCCATAACATACGTCTCCATCCTCCTGTTTCTATGGCAACACAGCAGAGAGGAGCCGAAAGGAGCCTCCTCTGACGCTCCTCCACCATGAAACGCAGACTGAAAAGAGATGGAGTCAGAAAAAAAACAGACTCAGGCCAGGAAAGAGAGAGAGAATAAAAAAGCACGAGAGACGGTGAGAAGAGGAGTGATGGAGGCCGTCGGGGCAAGCTCTTGTTCAGGATGTTGTATCCATGGTAACCCCGGCTGGTTATCAGTAAATTGAAGTCCCTTCTGTTGGTCCTGCTCTGGTTTTTCAGAGACGCAGTGCTGTACACACCCCACCCACCCATTCATTTTCTGCTCTTCATCTCATTAGCGAACAGGAAAAAACCCACGTGATTTAGCAGGATGGTCAGTGGCTGATGTTTACTCTTCTGCAGAAACCAAACATCTTTCTGAGAATCAATATTTACTGTTGGTTCTAATCAGGCACATGAGAGGGTGAGGGTGGGAGGGTGAGAGGCAGAGGGAGTTGCCTGTTTGCCCTACAGAGCCAGAGGCAATCACCTGTTGGCCCAATCTGGCTCAGCCCGGCTTGGTTCAGCTCGGCTTGGTTTGGTTCTGCTCGGCCCGGTTTGGTTCAGCTCGGTTTGGTTCTGATCGCTTGGTCTGGTTCTGTTCAGCTCGGTCTGGTTCTGCTCTGCTCGGTTTGGTTCTGTTCGGCTCGGTTTGGTTCTGTTCAGCTCGGTTTGGTTCTTATCTGCTCGGTTTGGTTCTGCTCGGCTTGGCTCGGTTTGATTCTGATCAGCTCGGCTCAGTTTGGTTCAGCTCGGTTTGGTCCTTTTCAGCTCGGTTTGGTCTTTTGCTTTGGTTCTGATCGCTCGGTCTTGGTTCAGTTTGGTTCTGGTCGGCTCGCTTGCAAAGTGAAGCAAACAGCAGAGGTGCTGCAGGGCAGGGCCACAGGTAACTGATTAGTGGGCGGGTTTAAAGCGTTCACGTTGATCCAAGACGATTCTGACGGGCTTGTAGAGGAGGTCGAGGACTGGGATGGTGCAGGATCTCAGCATGATGTGTGTCCTTAGAAGGTGTGAGGATAAAACAAACGTGCTCCAACAAATCAACAGAATCTGAAAGTCAAAAAGAGCAAATTCAGCAAAAAAAAAAAAAAAAAAAGAACATGAGAGCTGCATCGTCCATCAGCTGATCAGCTGTTTTCTGCTATTTAAAACATGCTCACAGTTGCGCCAGACTTTATGGACCTAGGATGCAAAATGTTCTGAAAACCTGCAGTTTGGGGGCTTTTGCAGATTTGACCTCTGCTGATTTCTAGATCAAATGATAAAGTATAATTTCAAACTTCCACTCTGTCAAAAAAACAGTAAAAGGTCAAACCTTACAGGAGCACAATTCAGATTTTAGGGCTGATTTCATTCTTTTGAACAGCTTTGGAGCCGATGTGGTCCGATTCTGATTCACCTGAAAAGAACAAAAATCAACAAA